GAGCCCCTGCCTAGAATCCCCCAGTGAGGGGCTGGGGATGTGGCTCAGAGGTAGAGCCCCTGCCTAGAATTCTCCACTGGGGAGTTAGGGTTGTGGATCAGTGGCAGAGCCATTCTTTAGAATCTCCTAGTGAGGGCCTAGGGGTGGGGTATGGCTCAGCATGCATAAGGCTCTGGATTCCATCCTTAGCACTGAGGGGGAAAAAAACCCACAAACTATCTGTGGGGCTGGAGAGATGGCTCAGTGGTTAAGAGCACTGACTGCTCTTCCAGAGGTCCTGAGTTCAATTCCTGGCAACCACATGGTGGCTCACATCCACCTTGGATGAGATCTGGTGCCCTCTGCTGGCCTGCAGGCAGAAGGCTGTATACATATGTATACATAATAAATAAATAAAGTCTAAAAAAAAAAAAAAAAAAAGACCAACATTCATGGTGGAAGGATCACAAATTTAGGACCAACCTCAACTACACAGTGAGACCATTTCAAAAAACCCAACCTAACTAACAAAACCCAAGACTCTAAGCAGGCATTAGGGGTGTGGGATTCATTGGGAGTATTGGAGGCATGGGTAGTTACTGGGGGGTTGGCAAGCATTAATGACAAGAGGTCCAGATGCATATTGAAAATGCAGGAATCCAGTCAAGGCCTGGAGACACTGACTGAGATTATGACACAGTGGGGCGTGTGTGTGGATAACACAGGTGAGTGGACTGTCACCTCACTTGGGACCTTGCCTTCCTCTCTAGTGACACAGCCCAAACGCACCTTCACAACAGTCCGGACCCCAAAGGACATTGCATCAGAGAACTCTATCTCCAGGTGCGTGGCCAGCCCTCTAGCAGAACGTTAGAGACATCTACAAGGCCATTGGTTGTGGGTGTCAAAGGCCCTGCTTGGGTTGGAAATGAAAGTTACATTGTGAGTAACTGGATGGGTTGGGTTTGCATGCCTGTAATCCCAGCACCCAGAGGGCAGGAGGATCAAGAATCCCATGCCATCCTGGGCTACAAAGTGAGACACTGTCTCATAAAACCCACTTGAAGCCGGGCGTTGGTGGCTCACGCCTTTAATCCCAGCACTTGGGAGGCAGAGGCAGGCGGATCTCTGTGAGTTCGAGGCCAGCTTGGTCTCCAGAGTGAGTGCCAAGATAGGCTTCAAAGCTACAGAGAGAAACCCTGTCTGGAGAGATGGCTCAGTGGTTAAGAACAATGACTACTCTTCAAGAGGACCTGGGTTCAAATCCCAGCACCCACATGGCAGTTTAAAACTGTCTGTAACTCTGGTTCCAGGGGATCTGACACATTCATACCGATGCACATAAAATAAAAATAAAAAGTTATTTAAGAAAAAAAAAAAGAATGCCAGACAGTGGTGTGGTGGGATCGTACGCCTTAAAACCCAGCACTAGGGAGGCAGAGGCAGGTGGATCTCTGTGAGTTTGAAGCCAGCCTGGTCTACAGAGCTATTTCCAGGACAGCCAGGGCTATACAGAGAAACCCTGTCTGAAAATACCAAAACCCAACCAAACAAACAACAACAACAACACCTCCAGCACTAGAGAGAGAGCATGCCAGCCTTGTGGAGTGCATGCACAATGGGAGGCTGAGGCAGAGAGAGTGCCCTCAGTTTGAGACCAGCCTAGGGGACACAATGAGACCCTGTGTCACAAAAACGACAGGGGAGGCGAGAGAGAGGGGGGAGGGGAGTGCATCTTTAGAATGGAGGGCTTGACTGACTTCTGGAGACTTCAGCTGAAGGAAGCAGAGACTCCCCCCACCCCCACCCTTTCTATAAAGAAAGGCACAGCCAGAGGAAGAATGCCCAGACACAGGAGTGAATGAGGGAGCCAGATGTCCCAACACCTGTTTCCCTGTGTGACCTGCTTCTCCCTCTTTCAGATTACTCTTCTGCTGCTGGTTTCCCTGGATGCTGAGGGCGGAGATGCAGTCCTAGAGGCCCTGGATACCCAACAAAGAGACAGAGTCCCCTCTAGCATCTCCTGACACAAGGAGCCCCCAGTCACCCCAAGATAGAGATTCCCAGTGACACGTCCAGAATAGAATCCCCCTGTTAGCCAGCCCTCGATTACTGAGGTCCCACCGTTAACAGATCTCCCATGACAACTCCCCAAATACAGACCTCATGTTACCCCAAAAGAGAGTCCCTGAGTAGCACCTTCAGGCTAGTCCCTATCCCCTGTCCCTCAGAGCAGATTTCCAATAAACAGACTTCCACATCACCCAAGTGATGCTGGCCCTCCACACAGCAGGACATTCTTGAGTTACTCACCAGTGGATCAGAGTCCCACGGATGAAGACCCCTCCCCTCCCCACTCTCCTTAAGCATAGGTCATACCTCCAGAATAGCCAACCACACCACTATCTCCATTTAACATCAGTTTCCTCAAGATGTCGTGACCCCAAGGTCACCCGAAATCCCTTACCTGCCCAAATCCGTATCAGAGGCTCCCTCCATTCACTAAGACCCTGTTGTCACCCCTGAAGATGACACCCACTTAACCAGCCCAGTCACCCCCAATTTACAAACACCAAAACAGTCCTGGAAGCATGAATTACAGGACACCAAGTCTTCCTGCCCTCTGCACCCTTGAGAAACCCCCAGTGCCTTGTATGAAGCCCACCCCACATGGCCCACAGTCCCTGTGCTGGCCAAGGCTCCCAGAAAATTCTCTATTTTTTAAAAGTAATAACTTTCCCCTTTGGGGGAATCCCAAAATTTGGAGACCCCCATTTTAGAACTCCAGGGAGTTCAAGTTCCAGAGAATATATATATATATCCCCAATTCCCAATGCCTCCAAATCCTACAATCCCTAGAAAACCCCAAATTTCTAATTCCCAGGACTCCCCCTACCCAGGTCACGGAATCTCCAAATCCCCAGGGAATCCCAAATTTAAGACCCCAACCCCAAACTCTCAGGAAACCCACAACCACGAGGTCCTTAGGACGGGGAGGAAGGAACCTGTTGCTAGGAGAACATCCCAGGCTTACCAGGACATCTCAAACCTGACTCCCAGGCGCCAGGAGACCCCAAACAGGAAGTCCCACCCTTGGAACAAGAATAGAGGACTCCAATGCCCTTAGTTCATGGATCTTCTGATCTCCCAAACTCCATCTTCCACGGGTCCCAGGCTCAAGGGAACCCCCAAGTCCCAAATCTCTGATTTCTAATTTGTGCAGGGCCCCAGGTCTTGGAGTCCCTCATTTCAATCCACCTTTTGGTCACAGGTCCAAGACACTAAATCTTAAGTCGCTGGCCCCAAAGGACCTCACAGCACCTGGGCCAGACCAACAGCCTGAGGGAGAAGCTGAAGGCCCCGTGGGTCCAGAGCAGACCTGGGGCCCTGATCACCAAGGACAGCTCACGACTGCCCCCCTTCACTGCATGCCCCCAAACTCAGCATGACTCCTGTCCTCTTCAATAAAGACGTTTCTATGGCCTTCGTGTGTCCGGTCACTGGGGGTTGACTGCCCTGTGTCCTTGCAGGGTAAGGAGGGGGGAAGAAGGCCTTTCTTTAACGTCGTTTCCCGGCGTCAACCGCGCACGAGCGACAGCTTGACCTGCAGAAGCGCTCCGGCTTCCTTCCCTGGCGTCTCCCATTTCCACCAGTCGGGCTGTGCGCGTCTGTTAACTCTGGAGTCCTGATTGGTAGAAAGCAGACGGAGTTCCGTCCCTGAGCGCAGCACGCAGCCTACCCCTGGGCGAGCATGGCAGATGCGAGGGAGAGCGTTGATTGGCTGCGGGCTCTTTGAATGTGCTCAGTGGTCTAAAACCTCCTGCGTCAGCCATATGGGGCGGAAGTGGCTGGGGGGCGGGCGAGCATGAGGGTGTTGAATCTGGAAATTGGAGGAGACGTTGTGGACGGTCAGGTTTTGGTTTTGGTTTTGGGGGGTGGTGCCGGAGGAGGCCCGGACAAGTTGGCAAGTCTTTCTCAGCTCAGATTAGGGGAGCAGAGATGCTCAGAATGGGAGGTCTGCAGGGGCTGAGATGAGAGGAGGGTCTTCAGGCCCCGGGGTACCTGTGCTCACGGTTGCAGAGTCCCGGGGCCCCGTGTGGAGCCTTCGAGAAAGGCTGCTGTGTGGGCTCAGAATGCTTTCTCTATGTGGCTTGGGAAGATGCGTGTATCCTTGGAGGAAGGAGTGTGCTGACTGCTGATAGCAGGCCTGGGACCCGGGGGCAGTGCTCGTTGGGTGGCTTTTGAGAAACTGGTCACTCCCTGGGGGTCTAGCCTCTGAAGGCTGGTCGCAGCTGAAGATGGGAGGCTTAGGGACTTAAGGGTGTCCACCCCTCCCTACAGGACAGCGCACAAGGAGTTGGTATCCATGGAGGAGCAGGACGCCAGGGTCCCAGCACTGGAGCCATTCAGGGTGGAGAAGGTTGTCAGGCCTGGGGGTGTAGAGGACAAACGTGGGGACAGAGGGTGTGAGGTGGGGGTGGAGTGACAGACTGACCCCTGTGTCTGTTGGTTGGGACCGCCCCATCTCTCTTCAGAGTCCAGCTCTAGGCCCATCTCCAGCCCCTAAGGTCGTAGGCTCCCTGAACTGAGGTCCCGTCCCTTCTGAGGCCATTTCCAAGTCCCTCTCTGAAAAAGAAAGGGTGCTCAGTCATGATAGGGTCGTGTTAGGCAAAGCGCCACGCCCTAACGCTGTGGCCCTTGAATACAGTTCCTCATGTTGTGGTGACCCCAACCATAAAATCATGTCATTGCTACTTCATCACTGTCCTTTTGCTACTGGTGTGAATCGTAATGTAAATACCCGTGTTTTCCTACGGCCTTTGGTGATGACTGGGAAAGGGTCATTCAACCCCAAAGGGGTCAAGACCCCACAGGTTGAGGCCCCGGTGCTAAGGTCAGTCTTTCCGTTATAGGCCCCACCTCTAATCTACTACGTCCCTGACTTCATCTCCAAGGAAGAGGAGGACTATTTGCTTCGACAGGTGACCCCAGCGCCCGTCCCACCCATCTTTCCCCTCTTGCCATTATCCTCTTGAGCACGCAGCCCCGCCAGGTATGAGAGCCTGGCAGCTCTGTGAAAACGCTGGCGAGGAGAGCGCCTTGGCCCTCCCCAGGTTTTTTGTTTTTTTTGTTTTTTGTTTCGGTTTTTCGAGACAGGGTTTCTCTGTGGCTTTTGGAGGCTGTCCTGGAACTAGCTCTTGTAGACCAGGTTGGTCTCGAACTCACAGAGATCCGTCTGCCTCTGCCTCCCCAGTGCTGGGATTAAAGGCGTGCGCCGCCACAACCCATCTCACCCTCGTGCTTCTATCTCTCTTTCAGCCATTGCTAGGTCCGTCTGAAAGTGTGTTCTCAGCCAGGTGTAGTGATGCCTTGTAACAGCCTGTAGTGACAGATTGTAATCCCAGCATGAGGGAGGTTGAGGCAGGAGGGTCTCAAATTTTTTTCAGGACTCTTTTGTTGGTTTGTTTTTTTGAGACAGGGTTTCTCTGTGTAGCTTTGGAGCCTATCCTGGAACTTGCTTTGCAGACCAAGCTGGCCTCGAACTCACAGAGATTCACCTGCCTATGCCTCCCAGTACTGGGATTAAAGGCGTGCGCCACTAATGTCCAGCGAAACTTCTGTTTTTTTTGTTTTTTTTTTTTTTTTTAGATCTTTTAAGAAGTTTTCATATGTATGAGTGTTTTATCTGCGTGTATGCATGTGCATGACCTCTGTACAGTGCCCGAGGAAACTAGAAGACATGTTGATTCCCTGGAACTGGGGTTACCGATGGTTGTGAGCCACCATGTGGGTGCCAGGAAGTGAACCTGGGTCTCTGCAAGAGCAGCTAGTGCTCTTAACCACTGAGCCATCTCTCCAGCCCTGTCTAGTGAGCTCTTGTTTGAAACGAAACAAAGCAAACAAATAAACAAGAGAGAACTTTCCTAGAGGCTTAGGAAAAGCCAAATGTATTCTTAGGAAGGATGATGAGTTCGTTGGTGTATGGCGTGCGTGTGTGTGCATGTGTGTGTGCGTGTGCACATGTGCATATGTGTGTGTTCCTGCTGGGGGTGGTGTGCGATCTGGGCATTGCGTGCAGGGCACTCTACCACTGAGGCACACCTCCACCAGCCCAAGGACTCAGTTATGAAGCCCACATTCTCCATACTGAGATAGCCCAGGCTAACCTTTAAAGCAAGGGTGTTACTGAGATCACATTCCTGACAGGACTAGCCAGCCCAGCGCCACCCCAGAGCCTTGGGAACAAGAAAGTTTCAGAGCTTATTCTCCCTGTGTTGTGAGATCCCAAGTTGGGTGTGGTGGCACATGCCTGTAATGCCAGCACTGGGATGGCGGATGTAGGAGAGTCAGGAATTCAAGGTGATGCTTAGTTATGTAGGGATTTCGAGGCCAGTCTGGGACACATGAGACCCTATCAAAAAAAAAAAAAAAAAAAAAAAAATCTGGGAACACACCATACCAGAGAAGACTTTGATTTCCAGCTGTGGGTGCAATCTGGATAGAACATCTCTTACCATTTGACTTCCAAGGTTGACTCAGCTGATTGGCTGGCTAGCCCAGTTCCTGGGCTTCCCCAGGTCTTTGTGAGTATCCGTGTTGGAGATGAACTCTTGATAGAGCCACCTTCCTTGATAGAGGAGGACCATTCTTCAGTCAGGGTTATAGGAATAACTGCTCTATGAATAGGCCCGAACTGGGACCTCCAAACAAACTCTAGACAGTCTGTTTCCACCCCACGTGGAGGCCCTCGTGTCAGTATGCTTGGGGAAATCCTGAAAACCTATTCCCCCCTCCTAGGTTTTTAATGCCCCAAAGCCAAAGTGGACCCAGCTGTCTGGGAGGTAGCTACAGAACTGGGGTAAGTGTTCTTAGCTAGGGAGTGTGGCCTGGGAAGGGCTCAGGTCCAATGGTTTTCATATATGTAGGGCCATCTCCAAGGACTCCAGGGGTCCCAGAGCCAGGAGGATTCAGGGTTTGGTGGTGGTTTTAAGGGATTAGGGTTTACTGAGGGGTCGGGAGTATTTCCGAGGGCAAGGCGCTGTGAAGAAAACTTGAGAAAAATCCAGTGGCAGTCTCCAGAACTCAGTGGGCAGAGATGCTTCCAGCCATTGGGAATATCCCTAATGTGGGTACCAGATGCCGAGACTCCTTGCATGATTGGATGCATTCAAGCCTCCATTGCACCCTCCAGGTGGGCTCCCCCATCCCCGGGGCATGGTTCCCGAGCGACTTCCGCCATGGCTTCAGCGCTACGTGGACAAAGTGTCAGACCTCAGCCTTTTTGGTGGTCTCCCAGCTAACCATGTCCTTGTGAACCAGTATCTGCCTGGGGAGGGCATCATGGTAATCACACCATTACCTCACCTCAGTTCCCTCAGCGACCACTACCTCCCCCCGGATGGATCTCCGGATCGTTAAGAGGAAGGGTAACCATTAGGTTTGCCTACCCTCATTGAGCCGCTACACACCCCCTCCCTATCCCAGCTTGGGAACCCCACTCCGGCTCCCGCCCTGTCCAGCCCTGGTGCCCGTTTCCTCCCCAGCCTCATGAAGATGGACCACTGTACTACCCAACTGTCAGCACCATCAGC